CACTCTTGATTTTAGTAATTTGAATGATTTTTCTTGGTAATTATATCTAAAAGTTTGTCAATTTTGTTGATGTTTTTAAAGAATCAATGTTTGATTTAATTGATTTTCGTCTATCATTTTCTATTATCTTTTATTAATTTCTACTCCAGTTTTTATCATTTCATTCTTTCTTGTTGCTTTGTGTTTACTATTCTTTCCTTTTTCTAGTTTTTTCTGGTCAAAAATTACATTATTGGTTTGAGATGTTTCTTTTTTGTTAATACAGGAATTTGAAGCTATATATTTCCATCTAAGCACTGTGATAATTTTACATCAGAAGTTCTGGTGTTCTGTATTTTTATTTCCATTTATCTCAAAGTATTTTCTGATTTATTTTTTGTTTTCTTCTTTGATCCCTTGGTCATTTAAAACTGTGCTGTTAATTTTCCACAGGTTTGTGGATTTCCCAAATTTTCTTCTATTACTGATTTCTAATTGTATTACACTGTGATCATAATATGTACTTTATATGATTTAAATTCTGCTAAATTTATTAAGGCTATTTTTTTTTGATCTGAGCATATGGTATAGCCTGGAAAATATCACTGTGCACTTGAGGAGATTGTGTATTTTCCTTTTGTTGACTGTGGTGTTCTTTCTCTGCCTAACTTACTTCACTTAGTATGATAATCTCTATCCATGTTACTGCAAATGGCACTATTTCACTTTTTATGGCTGAGTAATATATATATATATATATATATATATATATATCACATATTTGTTATCTATTTATCTTTCAATGGACATATAGACTGCTTCCATGTCTTGGCTGTTGTAGTAGTGCTGCTATGAATATTGGGGTACATGAATGTTTTCAAGTTAGTTTTTTCCAGATATATGTTCAGAAATGGGGTTGCTGGATCATATGTTAACTCCATTTTTAGTTTTTTAAGGAAACTCCATACTGTTTTCCACAGTGGCTACACCAAACTACATTCCCACCAACAATATATGTGTGTTCCCTTTTCTTCACACTCTCTCTAGAATTTCTTATTTGTAACTCTTTGATGATGGCCATTCTGACAGGTGTGAGGTGATACTTCCTTGTAGTTTTGATAAACATTTCTCTAATAGTTAGTAGTGGTAAGCATGTTTTCATGTGCCTGTTGTCCATCTGTATGTCTTTGGAGAAAAGTCTTTTTAGGTCCTCTGCCCATTTTTTGATTGAGTTATTTGTTTTGTTTTGTTTTTATTGGATATTGAGTTACATGAACTGTCTGCATATTTTGGAGGTTATGCTCTTGTCATTCACATCATTTGCAAATATTTTCTTCCATTCTGTAGGTTATCTTTTCATTTTGTTGATGGTTTCCTTTGCTGTGCAAAAGCTTGTAAGTTTGTTTAGGTCCCAGTTGTTTATTTTTGCGTTTTTTTTTTTTTTGCCTTGGGAGACAGAACTAAGAAAATATTAGTGCGATTTTTGTCCAGGAATGTCCTGCCTATGTTCTCTTCTATGAGTTTTATGGTGTCATGTCTTATATTTGAGTCTTCAGTCTGAGACTGTGTTGATTTTTCATCATTCTTTGTTTCTTTCTGTTCCATGGTCTGGGTTACCTTAATTAACTTGTCTTCAAGTTCACTGACTCTTCTGCCTGTTCAAATCTAATCTTGGGCTTCTGTAGTAAAAGTCTTATATTAGTTACTGTACTTTTTAACTACAGAAATTTCAGTTGGCTCTTTTAAAATTATCTTTAACTATTGTTAATCTCTATTTAGTGACACATCTTTCTCATTTGTTCCTTTAGTTCCTTAGACATGCTTTCCTTTAATTCTTTGAACATATTTAAGGTAGCTAATTTAAAATCATTTTCCAGTAAGTCCAATATCTGGACTTGCTCATGGAGAGTTTCTATTGATACCAGTTTTACTTGAGTATGGATCAATATTCTCTGTGTCTTTGCATGTCTCATAATTTCTTGTTGGAAAGAGTACATTTAAAATAATATAATCTGACATCTCTAGAAATTAGATCCTCCCCAACTCCCCAGAGTTTATTATAAAGTGTCTATTTTTGTTGTTTGCTTGTTTTTTGATCTCCTGGAGTAATTCTGTATTAACGTGTATATTTTTTGTTGTGTGAAGCCGCTGAAGTCTATAGGTTAACTTATTTTTCAGCTAATGATTGGACAGTGATTTCCTGAAATATTTTGAACCAATAAGTCTGCTAGCCTTTGCTGAAGGGCTTTGTGTATGTGTGTGGTAGGGCATGCCCTTAACATTCAACCAGTTTACAACTCTGCCTTACTATTCTCTCCCTGCTTGTGCAGGTCTCAAGGGCAGCCAGAAGAGAAAGATTAGGGCCTTTTCAAGTCTTTTGTTGACATACACACAGCCCAGAGTATATATACATTCCTTTTCAAATACATGTCTTTCTGGATTTCTAGGACTAAGTTGCAGTTTTGCAAAACCCCTCTCTGGGCATGTCATTCTCTATATTTTTTGCCAAGTGTTTTGTTCAACTTCTTGATAATTCCAACTTGTACATTGCTTCACTCCACCACAATCTTAAACAATTTCAGATTATTGTATTTGGTAAATGCCCCAATTGCAGCATAGTTTTCATAGGATGAGCTTTGGGTTAAGACAAGGAAACATATACTCTAAGAATGGAGATTTCCATACCTGTTTCAAACTTGACAAATAATGATATTTCTTATATAATTATGAGTTTACATGGTTTGGAGTGATGTTGTGAATGATAAGGAAATAAGTGTTTCATCCATGACAAGCATTTCTAGGTTATCTGTCAATTCTTTGGAGTCCAGATGTCACCCATCACATTTATCTAAAATATTTGAGTCTTTCCTGGAACTTCTCTTAGTACAGAGGCCAAATAAATAAGATGTTCTTTCCATGAAGAGCTGATAATTTATGCTTGTATCTTTGTGAATGTGATTTGTCTGCATTGTCTTATTTTTTTATTTGTTTATAAAGTGAGGATGGTAATAGTTACCTTTGAATACTTGGGAACAGTAAATAAAAAGTGTTGTGGAAAATCTTTCATAAACATTTTCAAGCTCTATTCAGATGTAAGGTAGAGTTTTCAAGTCTAAGTTATCTGGAGAAGAATGTTGATGCAATTAATGAGAAAGGGAATGACTGTAACTCCTTCCTCATTTCATTCTTTTACTTACAAAATACTGTAAATGTTAGAAATTATAATATTTGTGGTTTCTGAAATGTTTATATAATTCTAAATGAGGAATGATTTATAACTCTACCTTGCTTGGCTCAAGTAAAATTTATGAAATCCTAGTATGTGTGAAAGGGCAATATAATGAATATTTATATTTAATTTCCCTGAGTGAAACCGAGAGCACATGAGTAATTCTCGGCTTGCTTTTTTCTGTTGCTGGTCAAGGAGGCCAGAGAAAAGTTTTCCAGGCAAGGATCCAGTTTTGTGTTCTCTTTGCTGATGAAATGTGGAAGGCAGGGTGTGCATGCTCCTCTCACATTTATGTGGCCCAGATTTGAACTAGAAAATGTGATTCTAAAATGTGGAAATTTGAGAAGGCATCATAGCCTGGTATGTAGTTTCCAATCTCTGTAAGCCGATGATGATGATGATGATGATGATGATTATTGTAATTGTTGTTGTTGCTGTTATTTTCAATGATGTGTTCAAAGGATCAAGGCTTTAAATACTGAAAAGATGTACTCCTGGGAATAGGACATAGACAAGAAGGTAATAAAATTCTTGGCACATTAATATTCCAGCCAAATGCCTGAACATATTTTATTGTGTTTAACCATGATAGCCTAACCATGGTTACTTTTCATTGAAGGGAGTAGGTGCTGCTTGTATTGTCTCCCTTTCTATTAGGATGAAAGGAGAAACTCTCAGCACCTTGTGTATCTGATTTATGTGAAAGTGGAGGATGATGAAAGTAGAGTGAAAAGAGAAATAGGAAAAGGAAACCAAAATTATCAAGAATATGGTCTTAGTGTGCCATTTTAGTTGGTGAGAACAGTAGTCCTCAAGCTTTATTTTAGCTTTATTTAAAAGCATACTAATTCCCTAAGGGTTATATCAAAATACAGTTTCTGATTCAGCAGGTCTGGGGTGTGATATGGGAATGTGTATTTCCATCAAGCTCCCAGATAATGATGATACTTCTGGCCTGAAAGTCACTCTTGGAGTAGCAAAGTTGGAGATTTGGCTGGCTCTCTTGGTGAAGGTCACATTTGAAAAAATTAAGTAGAGATTATCTATCAAAAAGATGGCTGGTTGTGATTTAATTTTATATCATCATTAAACTTTTATATAATAAAATTCAAAATCATTGATCAAAAAGAAAAAAAATTGTCTGACTATACCACCCTCATTTTTTTCATCCATTATTTCCTTATTTTAGGTCCCTCAGTGAATACTCTGTGAGCAAGTTAAATTTATTCCTCTGCCAGAAAGTATCTTAGTCTAGGCTGCCATCTGGTTAAGTTGTGGAAAATGTCCAGATGTTGCCTATGTTGTCATGGAAAAGGCCCTAGAAAGGAAGACAGACTACCTCGCTTCTAGTTCCAGCTCTTCCAGCTAGTTCTGGGAGCTGAAGCTAATTTTTTCTTTGTGGAATGATTGTGGATATTTAGTGAGAGGTGAGAAAACATGTAGTCTATTGTTCATAATGGGAAGTCAGTAAAGCTTAAGGAGACCCACTTAGGAGTACAACTAAGTAGCTTTTATGTCTTACAGACTGGGTAGAACAAGTCAGAGAAGACAGGACTTGAGAATAAAACGTGCCCCATAACTTAAATGAAGGACTTCACTAAGGGATGTGTAATATTAGTTGCTCAAACCTTCCATTGAAGGTTTGATCTTTTGTTTAAAGTCTTCCCATGCAGTTTGCTACCTGATGGGAGCACTTCACTTTGCTTTTCTCCCGTCTGCCCTAACATAGGTGAGGGAATCAGGCAAAGGATAGCAGTGGTGAACATTTCTCTTGTTTTTCCTTCCTTTACAGATTATTCCTCTGCTGTTCAGAAATTTTCCCAGACGCTGCAGTCCTTTCAGTTTGATTTCATTGGAGACACTCTGACTGATGACGAGATTAACATTGGTAAGTCTTCAGCTACATGTGGCCCTGTGCCTCTCAAAGGAGGTCTGAGACCATACAGCCTCCTTGGGTTTTGGATATAGAGAACTTAGGCATCTTTATCCTTTCTGCCCCAGTGCCAAGCTCCTAGGAGACTGCTTAAGAATCATAACAAATCCTTCTCCCCTAGTCCCATTTTCTCCTCACACAAAAGGAATCAAATGATATCTCTCACATGTCCATTGAGGCCTTTGACTCAGTCTGCAGGGGGATTTTTCTTTAAAGATTCTAACATATGAAAATACATAAATTTTTGTAAAAGATAGATTAAAGAGTGATTTTGGGGGGATTTATTGTCCAAAATAATTGAAAGTAAGAGTCTTCTGAAGAATAAATTCCCCTAGAAAGTTTAAAACTATAATTTATATATGTATAGATTTTCAGGTAATAGGAGATTTGGCATCTCCATTGGGAACTGAATTTAACAACTCGCTTTATGGGCTGTGCAATTTTGGATTAGATATTTCCTCTCTCTGAGCCTTAGTTTTGTCCCTTTTAGAATTTGGTTAATATCTATCTCTCAGGGATGTTACAAAGAAGAGACTGAACAGTAGAAGTAAAAAGGACTTTGTGTTTCTGTTAGTTATGAAGTTAACGTAGTGTCAGCAAACTATGGCCCTTGGGCCAAATCTTGTCTGCTGCTTTTTTTTTGTAAATAAAGTTTTGTTGGTACAGCGTTAAGTGTTGTCTCTGGGTGCTTTTGTAGTACAACTGCAATGTTGAGTAGGAATAGCAGAGACTAGATAGTTTTCAAAGCCTCAAATATTTGCCCTCTGGCCTTTTAAAAAAATTGTTGGCCGGTGAGTTAAAGAGTTGGTGTAAAGCATTTGTTGGATGAGATCACAGAACTGCTCTGAATTATCTGATGTCACTGAAATAAGTTAGTAACACAAGGGTATTTATGAACCCAGACTAAAATATAAAAGTGTATTATTATTATTAAATCTTCATTGCAATAAATATGAATAATATAAGAGTATCAAATTACCTATGATAACAAGATATATTTCAGCACAGAAGCTATTGGATGTATTGACATATTATCCTTAAACTCTCTTCTGTACTTGTATCTATTTTATGTGTATGTAATTTTTTTAAACATTTTTATTGAGTTATATTATGTCATTTAACAATGTTGTGTCAAATTCCAGTGTACAGCACAATATTTCAGTTATACATGAGCATACATATATTCATTGTCACATTTTTTTCACTGTGAGCTACCACAAAATCTTGTATATGTAATTTAGTTCCTACTAAATATATAATTTTTCTTTTCAACCTTACATTTCATCATAAGCATTTTCTCATGTCATTTAAAAATTTTTGTAAGCTTGAGTGGGGGGCAAGGACACTGTTTTGTTCACTACTGTTTCCCTAGCATGTAGAGGAATGCCTAGCATATAGTAGATGTTTGTTGAATGAATAGTAGACATATTCAAGTTTCATCATTATAGGAGCTATATTTATATACTAATCAACTATTGTTGGAAATTTAGCTTATTTCCAATTTTTCCTAATTATGTATAATACTTCAGTGAGAATTTTTATGAGATTGATGACTATAGTTTTGGCTAAATGTGGCAGTGTAAGTAATGAGGCAGACATTTGCATTTGGATTATTTCTTTATTCACTCCACTTCATTCTACTTTCTGCAAATCTATCTTGGTCTAAGGACATAACTTATTTAAAAGTTAATATCATGGACTCTGGAGTCAGACAGCCCAAGTTTGAACTCTGGCTTTGCAACATATTGGCTGTGTAATCTTGGCAAGTGACTTCACCTCTCTGTTAATTTTTTTCCACCCGTAAAATGGGGATGAGGTGATTAATGCCAAGTGTACACAGTGCTTGAATAAATGTTAGCTATTTAACCATTATTGTTAGTACAAGATTTGATTATTTTGTACTTTTCAATGGAGACTGGATGTTTTTGTGTCCTCCACAAATTCATAGGTTGAAATTCTAACTGCCAATATCATGGTATTAGGAGGTGGGGCCTTTGGGAGGTAATTAGGTCATGAAGGTTGAACCCTCATGGATGGGATTAGTTCTCTTATAAAAGAGACTCCAGAGAGCTCTCTCACCCTCTTTCCATCATGTGACGATACAATGAGAAGTTGAGAGTCTGCAGCCTGGAAGAGAGTTCTCACCAAAGCCTGACCATGCTGACACCTTGATCACATACTTCCAGCTTCCAGAACTGTGTGAAATAAATTTCTGTTGTTTATAAGCCACCCAGTCTATGATGTTTTGTTATACCATATCAAACTGAGTAAGACAGAAATTGGTACTGAGAAGTGGGAGTGCTGCTTTAGCAAATACCTAAAAATGTGGAAGTGGCTTGGGCAGGGGCTGGAAGAGTTTTGAGGTGCATAATAGAGAAAGCCTAGATTGCTGTGAGTGGAATTTTAAAGGCGATTCTTCTGAGCACTCTGAAAGAAAAGAGAGTGGGAGAGAAAGCTTCACTCTTTCTGGGGAATACCTAAGTAATCAGGAACAGAATATTGATAGAAATATGGTTGGTAGAGTCCAGAGGAGTGTATAGCTCAGTGGTACAGTGCATACCTAGTATACATGAGGTCCTGGGTTCAATCACCAGTATCTCCACTTAAACAAACAAACCTAATCCCCCTCCCCCCAAAAAAAGCAAAAAAAAAGAGAAAAGGATGATGGAGTCCATTCTAATGAGGCCTCAGACAGAAATGAAGAACATGTTATTGGGCAATAGAAAAAAGGTGATCCTTATTGTAAAATGGTAAGTAATTAGGCCAAATCGTTTGTCTTCTACTATTCTTTGGAAGGTAAAACTTGCAAACAACAAAATTGGATATTTGGCTGAGGAGATTTCTAAGCAAAGTGTTAAAAGAGTGGATTGATGTCCCCTGACTCCTTATACTAAAATCTGAGAGGAAAGAAATGAAGAGAAAATGGAATTATTAAGCAAAATGGAACCAGAACTCAAAGACATGTCCATATTATAAAAAAAAGTGAAGTATGTTTGGAAGAGAACACTAAAAAGTGTGGTGAACCTACAATTTGATAAGATTAGTGTTGATGTGAACCAAGGACTTAATCAACCATCTCAACAAAAGCTAGGAACAGAGACGGTATTATACCAGCAGTAGTACTGCCTGCTAGGACTGAAGGAAACAGAGAAAGCAGGACAAACTGAAGAAAGACTTCTTACATCCTACAGGACCAGGCCATAGAGCAACTTGGCTGTGAATATGCACTATTTCTCAAGATAAGGGATGGAGGACCCTGAAAGTTATTCAGTGATCATCAGGGCTGCCACTCCCACCACAGGCCTAGAGTGCATAGACCCTGGTGAGGCAGGGCTGCCTCTGCCTAGATCTTAAAGGGCAAGACTAATACTCAGGGAGCTGTAGGGGTGAGGTCATTCTGCAGAACCATGAAAGTACAACACCCCTCCATGCTCCTTCAAGACAGAGAACCAAGGCATGAGCAGAGCCACTGAAGAGAGCAACCGTGTGTGCATCCCTCCACTAAACTTTAGGGGTGATATTGCTGCCTCAGTGGGTCCAGAAGACTGGACTGCTGCCCCAGTGGGTCTATAAAGCAGAGCGTGAAGCCAAAGAGCATTATTCTCAAGACTGAGGATCATATGGAGGTTGCCTTGCTAGGTGTTGGGCTTGCTTGGGACCTTCCTTCTTTCTTTTCTCCCTTTTGGAGTGGGAATGTCTATCCAATGCCTGTCCCATCATTGTATTTTGGAAACACGTAACTTGTTGGGTTTCACAGGTTCACAGCTAGAGAGGAATTTTGCCTCAGAAAAATTCATACCTGAGTCTCACCAATATTTGATTTAGATATTTAGAGAAAACTCTGGACTTTAGACCTAAGAGTTGATGCTCAAATGAGTTAAGACTTTTGGGACTGTTGGGATGGAATTAATGTATTTTACATGTGAGAAGGTTACGAATTTTGTGGAGCAAGGGGAGGAATGCAATGGACTATTTGTATCTTCCCAAAATTCATGTTGAAAGCCCCCTAACCCCCAGTGTGATAGTAACAGGAGTGGACCTTTGAGAAATAATTAGGTAATGAGGATGGAGCCCTCATGAATGGGATTAATGCCCTCATAACAGGGACCCCAGATTGCTCTCTAGCCCTCTTTTCATCATGTCAGGATACCGTGAGAAGTTAGAAGTCTTCCAGCCAGAAGAGGGCACACCCAGAACCCAACCATACTGGCATTCAGATGTTAGACTTCTAGCCTCGAGGACTATGAGAAATTTCTATTGTTTATACACCACCCAATCTATGGTATTTTGTTATAGAAACCCAAACTAAACATGTTTCTTTCTTAAAAATAACTACTACTTGCCTGTTAATTGGTAACCTTGAAGATTGCATATGCATGGTATGTGGAATTCCTATTTGTCTTTTTTTCTGCTAGAAGGATCTAATTTTGAACAGATGCCTGTTTTCCCTAAAGCCAACCAATGGATCTGGGATGTGTCTGATATCATCCTTTATGCTGAACTTTGTGTTTCAACTCTCTCACCCCTCGAACCCTAGCATAAATGTCAACTAGAGCTATGCAGGAAAAAAAACGGGTGTGCAAGCTTGAACATAATGGCTCATGAACAAAAATGTAAGTGACCACCCCTGACACCGCCAGGTTCTTATGGATATCTGCTGGCTGTGACACATACTGTATGCCTTACAATAACCCTTTAACTCAGTTAGCATTTGCCTGCCAATTCCAGAAACTCCTAGTTATCATCTGACTGTTGCTTTTAGGGATGCTGCCTCATGAACTGACCTTTATTGATGGGGACTGAAAAGAGATTTTGAGAATTTCAATGGCCTGTCATTGTCATTGTCTGTTGAATTTGTCATTTTGAAAGCTGGGATTTGTGGTGTTAGTGAGGGGAACAACCAGTGTTCCAACAGCTGAGGCTGAGGCTCTTTGGAGGCTTTGAGGAGAAATCTT